GTTGGTTCTATTATAGTGGCTATAATAGTGATTTCCACTTTGACAATCTCTACCTTTCTATTTACATTATCCGTCCACTTTATCCTATAGACTAAATGTGATTTGGCCAATAAAGTTATGGCCTTAAGAATAGGAGTATAAGTAGTAGCAATATGTCTTTATTTTTCATCTTGGGCCACCATGACATAAGCCTTTTAAGCTTTGGTAAAGGTTCAATACTCAATACGTGAGATCGAATGATTCGATATGTATGGTCTAATCCAATAAAAAGTCAAAAGCCTTTTCTTCTTCATATGTCTCCTCTATTCTTTTTACCACTCTATATGTGCAAAACGAAATGGGCCGAAGATTTTGCAATTTCTTCCATATATTCTTTAGTTTTTCATAATATGTGGAGATGGCTAGCCTTTCTTGTTGTAATAAGGCAATTGAGTGCTTCAATTCATACACTCCGAGTTCAATTCCTTGAGTAAATCTCCTCTTAAAATCACTCTAAATTTCACTTACAATAATGGTGTGAGTTGCTTATGATTGTAATTCTTTAAAAATCAAATTGAGGAGCATGATTTAATGAGTGTATTACATTGAATCCAAGCTTGAAAATCTTCTAAATTGATGTCCGGTTTGGGTATCAATCCATCAACAAATCCCACTTTATTTTTCGAATTTAGGGCATTGACAAAATTACTTTGCTAAGTAAAGTAATTTTCTTCACATTCACTAAGAGGTTGTGTAACAAAGAACAAACCTAGATGATCGAAAGATATAAGTAAAATGAGAATTTGGTATCAATTATGATAGTTTGCATATTCGCAATGGACACCAAACCCTTTTCATTGCGATTTGCTAAACCGAGTTGCCATGAAAAAAATATCACAAACCTTAGGGTTATGAGAGGTTGAGCTTCTAATAAAAAGATTTATTATTAACAATGTTATTTTCTTGATATTACATTTGAATAGAAGAGTGATATGATCAACCATTAATGCCGATAGTGGAAGCTCCACTTGCGGTTGCATTGAGTCATGTTGCTTGAGCATTTAAAGAGGGAAGTTAATTGATAATAGCTCTTTGAGTAGAGGTACCAATGTGTTCCATAGTGGATAGTGGCAACAAAAAAAAAAAGGCATACACATTTGAGGAGGTGTTGTGCTAATAAGATCATCAAAATTGATGGGTGAAATTAGTTTTTGTGGTGCTAATTGAATGTATTGCTCTCTATTAGATACAAACGATACCGAGCTAGAAGGAATGGTTGAGTCAAATCCTTTACTATCATCTATGTAAGCATGAGTGTTAAAAGCAGATTGAATTTCAAAGACTATGAAAAAAGGAGGTTTTCCAATAGTGTTGTTCAATGTGGTGCATTTCTCATATTGAATAATCATTTTGAGGTTCTTGTTGAAATCCTTGATTGAGTCCCACTTGGGTATGCCAATATATATGCTATCAATATAAATATCTCGCTTCCTTCGAGGAGCTAGAAGACTTTTAGTATTTGAAACTCAATTTGCAAAGAGTGGTAACTACCTCATAATTAATCATGATTTGAATTCTTTCATAAACCTAGATCCAACATGTCAATGTAAATAAGTATTAGTGAAGCCATCTTATATAAACAAAAACTATCCAAATAAAGTATACATATTAATGTTACATTTAGCCATGAAAACTAATTAAGGAATAAGGCTTATGGACTTATAGATCTTAAAAACCATGAAGATCCAAATCAGTTTTAAACTATTAAGTATTCATTGAGGAATAAACATGCAAGTTTATGTTAAGTAAATGGTTGATAAACTTAAAGTTTTGCATTAAACAAAATGTAAAGTTTATATTGGGTAATAAATCATAGAAATTTATATGAATAAATTATGAGAATTTTAAGTTAATTAGAATGCTTTCAAAACTAAAGAAAAACATTAAATTAAATGAAAAAAATAAATAGAGTATAAACAAGACATGTAAAGAAAGTGATAAATAAAGTTGTAAACAAAACGCAAATAAAGTTATAAATAATACAATAAAGAAAGTGTAATGATAAAGTGTAAAACTATAAACAATAAATTTACAGAAAGTAAATTATGAGAAATATTAACTTACAAAAAACTTGAGTAAGTTTGTATTAAAATTATGTATCGAGACAAGTCAACGAATTACAATGAGGGTATTGCTCCATTTATTTTATCGTATGACCCAAAAATTACTTGCAATAAAAAAGGTATAATGCTAAACCTCGAGGTTATAAACTATAAACTTAGAGAAAGTAAATTGCAAGAAAAAATAATGTGTAGAAAACTTGAACAAGTTTGTTTTGAAGTTGTATATTGAGATAGATCGAAGAATCAACAAGGGTGTTTCTCTATTTATACTATTTTAAGACTCGGGAGTTACTTGCAATACAAAGTAAGAAAAAATAAGCGAACTAAAAGTCTATTCCTAACTATAAAAAAATATCAATACCCAAATTAGACATAAAAAAGTACTATGCTTAGAATAAGACCTTGAATCTTTCATAAAGACTATATAAGAAAATGTGATAAAGAGTTTGTATCTTGTAGAATAATCTTGATTACAAAAATTTTCAAATCTAAAAGAGTAGAGTGCAAATCGATTGTATCTTATTAGATAATTTCTTCAAGTATCGATCATGTCGGCTAACAAACTCTCATTGGATCAATATGTAGATTAGGATTACGATATAAATACATGAACGAGATCATACTAAAAATTTTTGTTATCGATAAGGATGTATTAGTATGGTCAAATTGCTCAAATTTTTATTTATATATAAGGAGAAAACGGTATTTTTTGGTGCCCAACTTTTGATTTATTTTATTTTATTTTAATACCTAACTAATAATTCCTTCTATTTTACTATTCGAGTTCTAATATTTTTCTTTCTATTTTGGTTCCTATAGTCACCGAAGACTAAATACTGCCGACTTGTCTAGAAACATCTATCACGTGATATTTTTAATTGTTAATAAATAGTTTGGATCGACATATGAAAAACTACGGTTTTGATGCCCAACCTTTGATATTTTTTTTTGGAGCTTAGAGTCACCTAAACTAAAAAAATACCGTCTTGCTTCGAAATATTTTTCATGTGCTATTTTTAACTTCCTCGTGGAAAACAAGAAAAAAACATGATGGGTTTGGGTTTTAGAGCTTCTTCGCTATCGTTTTTGTTTCGACTTTGAATCTCTCGAGATGGGAATTGGCGAGGGTATGATAAAAGTGAGAAAGACCAAAGAGCTTGTAGCTTAGTGGTAGTGGTCTCTTACAAGAGGTCACGGGTTCAAATCCTAGGAGATTAATTCTATTAGGAGTTTTGGGTGTATGAGTTTGGTGCCCAACCTTTGATTTTTTTTTCCTTATTTTGGTGCTTACGAGTTACTTAAACTAAAAAAAAAAAAATACCATCTTGTTTGAGAATATTTTTCACGTGGTATTTTTAACTTCCACATGGAAAACAAGGAAAAAAAAACATGATGGGTTTGGGTTCTAGAGTTTCCTCTATGTCTTTTTTATTTCGACTTTGAATCTCTCAAAATAGGAATTGGTGAGCGTATGATAAGAGTGAGAGGAGACCAAAGAGCTTTGTAGCTTAGTGATATGCTCTCTTACAAGAGATCACGGGTTCAAATCCTAACAGATTAATTCTGCTAGGAATCTTGAGTTTATGAGTTAAAAAAACTAAGAGTGAGAGATGAGGAGAAGTAAGAGAGTGAAAATATAGAGAAGGGAAATAGGGTGGGTCATAGTGGTAGATTATTGGGCTTTTATTTTTCAATTTTAAAGAGAAAAGAGAGCATAAATGAGAGATGGTGATGGTTGGGAGACAATCATATCTAGTCAGAGAATGGAAGGAAGGTGTTGAAGTTATTGGAAAGGACGAGTCGTGAAAAGAAGTTCATTAAAAGCATCATTGTAAATTCAAATTAAAGTTTTGTAATGGTCCTCAAACTACAGAGATAGTCTTGATTTAGTCTTCACATAATTTTTTTTATCTCAATTGAATCTCTTATTGATTAAAAAATTATCAATCCATTTTTTAATTAGTTTATTAAAACTAATTAAGGATAACAATATTTTGTTATTATAATTGTTATTTTCTTATTATCCACACGTCAATCAAAACTATCATGTGACAAGTGTTTTCAAACACGTTAGCATTATTTAGTATTAGGTAACTACGGACAAAAGAAAAAAATAAAAATAAAAACAAAGATTTAGGCACCAACTATAGTTTTATACGTATCAGTCAAAATTGTCACATGATAGTTAAAAATTATTACTTAAAAGATGTTTCCGAATAAGTCGGTATTATTTAGTGTCCGGTAATTATATGTATCAAATCAAGAAAAAAATTTATTAAAGTTTGAACAGTAAAATAAAATCACTGATTAGGTAAAAATAATAATAATAATAATAATAATAATAACAATTAGATGAGTTCCCATTTTAGTTCAAAATACAAAGTCATTAACTTTGCGTTCTATAGAATGATGGAACGTTAAGTCCAAAATTTTCGTGGCCATAAATATTGTTAGATCCATTTGTACAATGGACTTATTTAAGAAAATATAATCGAGAGTAGATCGAATTTTCTTTATCTCCCGATCTACTTCTTGGGATTAACACGTAGTGCGAGTTGGACCAAATAAGAGTGCATAAATTATCAGCAAGTTGTACCTAAATTGTTACTTATGTCTCACATTTTTCCAACAGTATCGAGTTAAATTCTCTCTTTTATAACAAGCCATAATAATAATAATAATTCACGAAAGGCGTAGATGATTGGCTCGTTCTAATGATAAAATGGAGTGTCCGGGATAAAGCTATCACTCATTCGATTGGTGGAAAATGAAGATTTCACATATGACCATCCAACGTGGCAACTGCATCATCATCCGCAGAGAAACCACTCTCAGTCGTCGCGAAGCGAACAAATCCCCTCTGAATAGAATAATCGGCGAGTTAATTGTTGACCATCAATGGCGGTGACGGCACCTCCTATAACTTCTGCTGCTTATCTTCGAGTTCTAAATCGCCCCTGTTTCTTCACCTCCAAGTCTCGCTTCGGCCTCCAATCACCCACCAAACAGCTGGCCCTTACAATCGTTGCCATGGCTCCCAAAAAGAAGGTAATTAACTAATTCAGTTCTTTCTAACTAGAAACCCTTTACAAGAACTATCCCTTGTTTCATTGCTAACAAATTAAAGACTTCAAAACCTTGTATCTCTGTCTCTCTCTTTCTCAGTTCAACTAAATCAATGCCTACGTACATGTAGGTTAACAAGTATGATGGGGGCTGGAAGAAACAATGGTACGGCGCAGGGATCTTTTACGAAGGCAGTGAAGAAGTGGAATTTGACGTATTCAAAAAGTTGGAGAAACGTAAAGTCCTTAGCAACGTAGAAAAAGCAGGACTCCTAACTAAAGCCGAGGAGTTGGGATTCACTTTATCGTCGATAGAGAAGCTGGGTGTGTTTTCGAAAGCTGAGGAGCTGGGCTTGTTGAGTCTGTTGGAGAAAACGGCAAGCGTTTCGCCGTCTACATTAGCCTCTGCTGCGCTGCCCATATTGCTGGCGGCAGTGGTAGCGATTGTCGTTATACCTGATGACTCGGCAGGGTTGGTGGCCGTGCAAGTTGTGTTGGCAGGGGCACTTGGGGTTGGTGCTGCCGCCTTGTTGGTTGGGTCTGTTGTTCTTGATGGTTTACAAGAAGCTGATTGAGTTTTCGGTTCTGTTTTTCAATCTTCCCTTCTTCTTTTTTTATCGACCTTAGGTTATCTTTTTTTTTTTTTAATGTTTATTTATGCTTGTTAAAAGTGCTTGGAAGGGTATTAATATGCAGTATATATCACATGTAAGAGGGAACAAAAATTGCAGGGAATATAAACATCTGCTTAGGGATATGGTTTGACAATGATAATTATTATTATCAGTTAAATTGCAAATCATCAGTTCCTTTCTTTTTTCTCCAAAAAATAAAAAATGTAAGTTAACATTTGCTAACCCTCCACTCTGCATTGATTTTTCTTTTTATATGCGAAAATATCTTTGACTAATAGCGTATGTAACTCTGATCAATTTCATCTAACTGGAATGCATTTCAATTAACCAATTTTTAGTTCTTGTTAATTTTTTGTTGGTCTTCAATTTATTTATTTACTTTTGGATAAAAGTGTTTGATCAAATCTAATGTCCTTTTGTTGCTGAAAAACAACCATTAAAAAAAATGGCTAGCTATAGAATCATAACCTAAGGTAAGAACTCATAAATTGCTTCATTTGCTTCCCTCAAAGACATGGATGGATGTAATATATTTGTAGGGCTTATATAACTAGCATGGTAAGGAACTTGAAGGCAATCTGCGTTCTTCAAGGTATGCCTTGACATGGAAATTTTCATAAGGTAAGGTTGTTAAGTACGAGGACAACCTGAGAATTGCATGTTTTGATTGGTATTTATTGAAAAAGACAAACGAAGAAAGAAAATGAGAACGCAGATTTTAGAAATCTCAGAGGCCTAATCTCTAAAATCTGAATAAAACTGAACTGAAGTTGTGTGGAGATGCGGGGCATCGATCCCCGTACCTCTCGCATGCTAAGCGAGCGCTCTACCATCTGAGCTACATCCCCGTGTTAGTAGATTTGCCAAATAATACAATATTACCTAAACTAACTAAAAAGGACAAAATTTGCTCCGATACTCTTTTAAGTCTTGATCAAAACATTGCAAAGAAAACTAAAACATAAAAAATGCTCAATGACTATATATGCCACTTCATTCACTCATTATCCTATGTACTAAAACAAAATTGATTAGGTTTTTACTGTAGCAATAAACGAGTGTCGATCCACTGTTTATTGTTACTGATGTTTTGTTTTTTTTGTTAATTTTCATTAATTTTCGTTGGCCTCTCCATCCGTTTACTTGTTCATTTGAACATTAAACGACTTCTCTCTTTTTTTTTTGTAAACATTGAATTTTTTTAAAAAAATTTCCATCCATTTACTGTTCACATGAACAAGTAAACGGCTTGCACTTTTTTTTTTCTAAACATTGAATTTTTTTTTTAAGTTTTTGTTTCTTAATAGTATTTGGTGTTAAAATTTTAAAAGAACCAACAATTAATTGGGTGTTAAAATTTTAAAGAAACCAACAATTATTTCCTTTATTATTTATTTTTATTTTTTTAAAATAAGAAATAGTTAAATACAAAATTTTTTATTAAAAAATTATAATTATTTTTTACCATAAAACAGATTATTAAATTAAAATAATTTTTCTAAACAATTTTATATATTTTATCCAACCCACGACATAGCACGGATAAAAAATCTAATACTATATACTAAAGAAAAACTATTTTTCATCGTAGCAATGAACAATGTTAATCACCGTTCATTGCTATATTACTTTGGATTTTTTTGTTTTTTAAGTTTTCATTTTTTTTCCAAGCATCCGTCGGCCTCCTCCCCCCTCTTTTTTTTACCAGTTTATTGTTAATTTGAATGGTAAACGGCTTGCCCTCTTATTTTTTTTCTCTAAACACTTTTTTTTTTAATTTCCGATCCGTTTACTATTCACATGAACGATGAACTACTGGCCTCCTTTTTTTTTTCCTAAACATTGAATTTTTTTTTAATTTTGATTTCTTAATAATATTAGGTGTTAAAATTTTAAAAGAACCAACGACTAATTGAGTGTTAAAATTTTAAAGAAATCAATAATTTATTTGCTTTATTATTTATTTCTAAAATTTAAAAACACAAACAAGAAATAGTTAAATATAAATTTTTTTCATTGAAAAATTATAATTATTTTTTATCATAAAACAGATTATTAAACTGAAATAATTTTTCTATATAATTTTATATATTTTATCCAATCCGTGACGTAGCGCGGGTAAAAAATCTAGTAAATTACTATGCATTCTACTTGGTCAAATGAGTAGTGTTTTTTTTCCCCTTCCCTTGCCTTATTTTCTTGCGCTCCTTTAACTTTCTAAATTTGTTTGTCATTACCTTCTTGGCTCATGCTTAATTTTTCCGAGTCCCTTTACGTCCATTTTCACCTTTTTCTTCTATTCACTTTTTTCAAATCATCTCAACCTTACATTTTTTAACCCTAAAATCCACCAAATTTGAACCTTTTTAACTTTTCTCTCTTATTCTTCAATCTTGTCTTTATCAAACCTTTTATTTGTTTTGTGACCAATCAACTCATCTTTTGTTGTTTCTTTTTAGGAAGTGGATCTTACTTCTTCTTTCTTTCCTTTAATTTTAGGCAATTTAAAGAACTAGAGTATGTTGTTTTTGTTTGATTATAATTCATTTCATGGAATATTGGAACATAAAGGTTGTTGAGATTGAGGTCATCTTTTTATTTTGTGTTGTTTAAATGTTGTGTTTATAAAAATTTGCATAAGAAATAGTTTGTAATTTGGAGAGAGAGAAAAGAGGTTAATGTTTAATGTTGGAAATGAGATTTTTGCTACTTAATTCAACATGAGCACCGATAAAACAAAAAATGAGGTTTAAGGATAAAACAAGTCGGATGATGGTCTTATCGGGTAGTTAGTGAAGGGTTCTAGGGATAGTATAATTATTTGGCAAAACGTTATTGTATATAGTAAAGATTTTTGTTTTTTCAAAACATCAACAAATGAGAACTACTAATTTTAGATAGTTGTTGAAGAGTCTTTGTAATAATTCAGATTGGAAATATGTTATGCTTTGGAAGTTGAAATAAGGGAGCCTAATGTAAGTTGTTGTTACTAGACCCATTTCATTCATCAAATGTTTTATTTGACTTTATGTTGTGTTAATTTGCTTTTTTTTTTTTTCTATTTTGAATTTTTGGTTTGTAATTTATTGTACGGATGTAGGATAAAGTTACAAAATCTTCTTCACTTAATTACCCGTTATCGAGTTAAGTTTCAAAGCTCTTTGCCTCCTTTCGTGTGATTCTATTGCATAAAGACTTCCTCACTCACTGATTGATATTGCTTTTAATTTGTGTAGGGCGGTGATAGATTTAACATCAATTCATAGCCAAAGCATCTCTAGGACAAATATGTTAGGACTGGCCATGCTGATTTAAACAGATTATGAGAATTTTTTTCTTTTGTTTGTTTATATTATTTATTAACGACTATTATGTATATATAATTTATTTTATATAATAAAAATAATAAATAAATAATAATAAATAATTGATTATGATGTGTAAATCAATACAGCAAGTGGATAATGAATATTCAATGTTATAGTTATGCATCACATATTAGCCACTATCATATGCTTATTTATTTTGCTTTAGCTTCTCCAACCGGAGGATCAACTCATTTGGGTCAAAAGCGCTAAAGGTTGCATGATGTTTTAATCTTAAGACAAAGGTAGGATTTCACTTTAGCTATATTTAGTTTGTTAATATTCATATTTGATTTTGTTGACCTTATTGACATTGTGTGTGCATTAGGCAAATGGGTGGTGTGGAAAACATCTAAAGATGACTACTATGTCAACTAACGAGTCTCGAAGAAGAACATTCTAACCTATTCTTTCAAGTATGTAATAATTTATGCAACGGTTTTGGATTTAGACTATTTTTTTAGGAAAGAATTCTTAGGTTTTTCTCCATGCTAATGTGATGAGCATGTGGTTTTTCCACTCTTGATCATGGTTTTTTTTTTTTTTTTAGCAAAGAGGCTTTTAGGAATGAGCTAGATTGGTCCCAACATTACTTTGATTATCTATCTTTATTTGTTTATTGTTTTGAGAAACTAAGATGACACTAATAGTTTTTAATTGTATATTTACTAAACTTGTTTTTAACACGCCCTACCTATGCCGACCTAGGACCTCGTAGGTCAAGAATATTACTTGCCATTGACCTACTTTAGAAGTACAATGAATGCAAACTAACAAGACACTATGTGTAACAGTCCTAACGTAGGACTTAATAGGTTAAGATTATTACTATCGTTAACCTACATTCAAAATGCAATGAATGCAAGCTAACAAGGCACTCGTGACTCATCCTTAACATACCTAGGTATAAATTACACTTGCGAAAGTCTAATAATGATGATTAGGTCCTACATTTTAGTTTAAAATGCACTATAATTTTTTTTATAGTTTATTATTTTATTTAAATTTTTTGAATTGAGATAATTAGAACCATGACAATCAATTTTTTCAAATTCTTTTTCTATTAATTTATATAAAATTATTTAATCATAACCCATTACTTGGTAATTAATTGATTATTTTTTTATCGTTAATTACCATTTATTTTAATTATTTTTTATTTAATTATATTGTCTTGATACTCTAGTGATGCTAGCATAGAAATAAATAACTTAAAGAAAACTACATTAACTACGACTATACTATTATTTTACTACCGATAATTTTTGTTTACATATAAACTACAATTTACATACAAACTAGTTTAGTGCTAACTTCTACAAAAATGACTTATTAACTATCTACATTCATTTCTCCCTAGTTGGCCATTTACTTTTTCATTGCTTTAACTATCATATAGAAAATAGACATAGCTAAGAAGTAAATCAAGATACCAAGTCCAATAACTGCTATAGCGTGTATGAGATCCATCCTCTAACCACAACCAATGTACACGCACTGGACGGACCCCTCGGTAGTTAGCTTAAAGGTGAAAAACACAATCTTTACCTATATTAGCTACACCACAAGTAAATA